AAAGCACCTCCATAGTTCCCAGCTCCGCGGCCCTCCCCCCTCTCAGCGCCGTGGCCGCTATAGAAGGGCTGGCGCGGCAGCACAGCCAGCGGCAGTACGGTGCCTGTCCTCGGCAGTGCTGCCTTTATCTCTACGTTTATCACAGGGTTGCTGCCGTTCACCTTTCATACATCTTTTTTCCCCACGCTGTTTGTGGAGAAAACAGGTGAGGACGTGCGGGAGGCTGAGCAGGGAATTACGTGGAGAATGACGGGGTAAAGCGAGCGTCTGCGGGGACAGCAGGGGTGGGGAGGGCACAGGTGACCGTGTGTGCAAGGGGGTTGTGACAATAGAGACTGTCAGTCCCAATAGGGACGGGCAGGGAAGAGAGAACCCCATAGACAGTCTTTTTCTACGTACCGTTTCCTTCCACAGATGAAATCCAAACCCTCATCAACCTGAAACCCTTCTAAATCCCCTTAGTTCTTTACCATCCTAACCCCGAAATCTCATTTTAGGGGGTATCTCCTCCTCCTAGAGAATGTTCCCATTCCACCACAATAGTGAACTGAATTTCCTCTATTCAGTTCCCACATAATTTCCTCATATATTTTCCATCAGAAACCAGCTTGGTGTGCCTTTTCACTCCTGAACTGATTTCTTCACAGGCAGCATTGCACAAAACATAGGAACACAATCTTTTCAAAATGCTTTCTAAACCAAAGGGATTTTGAATCTTCCAGTGTTGGCTTTAAGAATTCACAGCTGAAGTGGGAGCATGTGTATCTTTTACCTGACACTGCTGTTTTTGCAAGTGGTTGATACATGCTGTCTTACACATATCAACAGATAGTTTCCCCTACTCAAAGAAGACAAATCATAAAATTCAGCCTTTGATCCCATTTTGCCATGTGCTTTTCCTGCCTTAGATGGAGTGATCCTGTGGGGTGATTGTAAGCCTCTTGAGTCTCCACACCTTCATGACTTCAACACAGTTCCCAAGTAATACAGGTCTGTTATTAAACTGTCCATGTCATTCTGGGTTGTTGGGTTTGGGGTTTTCTTTTTCAACAGCCCTATTTGCAACATAAGATAGGAGACAGTGGAAGAACCATTAAGGAAAAAATTACACTGAAGTTATAAAAGGAAATAAAGTCCACTGTTTGGTACTGACTTAACATGTTTTGTAACCTATGGATTCACTAAACTCCCAACATGTTGGTGGGGATTACAGTACCTGTTTCTCCCACATTCCTCCTTGCTGTTTCACAATTTTACTGTAACTAATCCAATTTCTGCTATTTCTGCACTAATTATGAGATTATATGCAAATAAGATTCATTTTAATAACATATAAAGTTATATATATTTAATAACATAAAGCAAGGTGTCAACTTTGATAAAGTTAGAGATCTGGAAGTAGCCATACAAGAGTCCCCTTCAGCTCCCAGAAGGAAACCCAGCCAATGCCACACAGAGCAGATTGTTAACAGTGTGCTATCCCACTTCTCTGCATGGGCAGAGGAGACTCCTTCCCCTCTTTTTCCACTTAATGCAAGGGAGCACTACACACTCATCCTTGCTTGGTTTTTACTTTGCAGCAATAACACTGGCTACATATGATGCACGATGAGATTCAGAATGTCTAGGATTTGCTATTTCTAGTTGAAATGTGGTTACACAATAAAGGATTCAAGATTAATCTGCTTGAAATGCTAGAGATGTTAAGTGACAAGAAGCTGGGAACAATGATTTAGAAATGGCAGCTAAATCATGCAGCTTGGAGAAAAACAAGCAAGGACTGAAATTGAGATTAAATGCCTTTAATTTATTCTATTTTGAACTGAAATTTGGATAACATTCGTTTCCTGGTGAACAGCCAGGCTCAGCTGTGAATAGTGCTGTCTAACGAGCAGTCTGAAGGCAGTTAACAAAGGAGACGAAGCACTCACTGTGCTTCAAAGGCTTTAGGCAGTTACAGGAGGGAGGCAGGAGGGGAAGAACACTCTCCTTGAGAGATTCCCCACATAAATTTGGCCAAATGAGGAAGTCCAAATGTTCCCATGAAGCAGGAGTTGAGAATTCCTTTCTCTCTGTCTGTACAGGAAGGAGGCCATATCACAGCCACAGACCATGAATAGTCATGATAAATGACCATGCCAGATTAGCTCCCTCTGCATTCGAGAGGATGAGGCTTAGTTCATAGCATGTCTGCTGAGTTTTTTGCTCATTCTTCAAGGTTAGGCCCGAACAGCATTGACTCTTTGAGCTTTGCCAAGGTTGCCCTCAAGAGGAGACTCATATTCCATACATGGAACAAGCACCTGAGTGCAGGCCACCTATATAGGTTGCCCATACTTGGATGGTTTGGGCAACAGCTCTAGGTGACTCTGTCTGAGTAGAGACCTCACACTAGATGACTTCCAGTTGTGCCTTCCAACCTCAACCATTATTCTGTACCTCATGCACAAGTTACAGAATCACATACTGGGTCAGGTTGGAAGGAATCACAGTGGATCATCTGGTCCAACCTCCCTGCTCAAACAGGGTCATCCCAGAGCACATGGCACAGGGTTGTGTCCAGACAGCTCTTGAGCACTTCCAGTGAGGGAGACTCCACACCCTCTCTGGGCAATTTGTTCCCGTGCTTGATCACCTACCTACCTGCATGGGAAAGAAAATCTTCCTTATATTCCTGTGCATCAGTTTCTACCTGTTGCCTCTCGTCCTATTGCTTGGCACCCCCAAAAAGATTCTGGCTCCATCGTCTTGACATACTGCCTTCTGGTACTTATTGTGGTGGGCTGGCACTGGCTGGGTACCAGACACCCACCAAAGCCACTCTCTCAGTCCCATCCACAGATGGACAGGAGAGAGACAATATAACAAAGGATCCATGAGCTGGGATAAGGACTGGGAGAGATCACTCACCAAATACCATTTAGACAAAATGGGCTTGAATTAGAGATACTAAATGAATTTGTTGCTAACCAAATCAGAGCAGGACAATGAGTAGTAATAAGACCTTAAAAAGCAACTTCTCCCCATCTCTCCCTCAATCCTTGCTTTACCTCCTCCCCTGCAGCAACTCAGAAAGACAGGGAATGAGTGTTAAGGTCAGTTCATTACATGTTGTTTCTATCACTGCTCAGGGAGAAGAGTCCTTCCCCTGCTCTGCAATTACACCTGCACAATAATTTTTTCAAATTCTTCTTTTTAAGAATGTTGTCATAGAGGTATTACCATAATTTTGAATTGGCCCAGCCTTTTCCAGCAGCACACCTGTCTTGGAGCCACAAGGGATCGGTTCTGCTGGACATGAAGGAAGCTTCCAGCATCTTCTCACAGAAGCCACCTGTAACCCCCCCTGCTACCAAAACTGGCCATGCAAATCCAATACTCTTACATTCCCTGATGAGGTCCCCTCTCAGTCATCTCTTCTCAAGGCTGAACAGGCACAGCTCCTTCAGCCTTTGCTCATAAGAGAGATGCACCAGTCCTTTAGTCAGCCATTGATTCCACTCCATGATCTCCATGTCTCTCTTGTCCTGAGGAGTCCAGAACTGGACACAGCACTCCAGATGCAGCCTTACAGGGCAGGATCACCTGCCTCGACCTGCTGGCAATGCTTTTACTGAAGCACCCAAATCCAGTGCCTATTTCTCCATTGCTTTTATAATTCTCATAAGTTACTGAAAGCAATATTCAGAGCAAGCATGCACGCACACACACACACACACACATTAAGAAAAAAACAAAACTGATATTGTTACATTTTACTTTCTGAGAGAAATCTCTATCACAAGATATCCTAATTTTTGCATATCTTATCCCATTTACAAACAAGCCAGCCACCTTCTCCCCAGAATACTTTACTACTCTAATGTAAGATAGTATTTTCACTTTCTTTCAAGATAGCTTGGAATGTGAGCAGTATTTGAATACCTCAAATTACCTCAGAACATGGAGAAGTAGAACCTCAGTGGTTTGATTTAAGGAGCTGCCTCCTAATGGGAACATATCAATGACTAGCTGAGGTATTCCTAATAAATCTATTACCTTGACCCAACAGCAAAAATAGATGTTCTTTATTTCACAAAGGGAGAAACTAAAGCACAGAAAAACCCATTAGTAATGTGTAATCAATGAGTCAGAGTAAAGAAAAGGAAAGGAAGGATATCAGGAAAATCTATATGGCTGAAAAGAGTGAGAGAACAAAGAGATGGGGAAAGTTTGGCTGAAAGGCTTGTAGTGATCTTAATGTGTACTTAGTCATTTAAATGCACAGCAATGGTGCACTTGGAGCTGAAAAATTTGGTACCTGCGTTTTTAAGTGGCTGGAAAGAAGTGATTCAGTTTTCCTTGAGTCACTCCTGATTGACTTTGTTTGGATATATGAATGGGAAACAAACAAGCAAACAGAAAATAACTCCACAAAACACATAAGTTCCTTGATAGTATAGTGCCCAGAAAAACTGGAAAAAGCTGGACCAAAACTGGAACCATGAAAAAGCTGTTCATGGTTCTTAGCTAAACTCACTGAGAATGGTCCTGATTTTTGTTCCTGTTTTTTTCTGTTCCTTCCCACATAACTGCAACCAGATTTTTAACCCTTGGAGTTCTACATGTGTTCCAGTAGTAACATGCATCTGAGACTTCTTTTTATAACATTTTTATGCATTTCAGATAAATGTGCAAAATCAGTATCCAGTAAGAATTCCCCATCTGCAGGTGCCAGGAGCAGCATGTAGCCATCGTTTTACACAGAATGAAATGGTCACAGAACGCTATGGAGACATATACCACACCAAGCAAGGAGCAAATTGAAAGTGTCAACAAGGAGACCATGAATAAGGAGGAAACCGAACTGATATCTATTGGAGTCCTTTTCTTTTAAATCAGAAAGATATAGGACTTATGACCAGCAGCACAGGAATATAAGGAAAATATTTTTCCACGTGTGAGAGGCAGACTGTGGAGCTACTAAAAGAAAATTATCAGTATTTTTACTTTACTTATTTATAATCAGTAAAGCTGCACAACAAAACAGTTTCCCTTCTACGAAAATTCCTAAGATTTTTCAGTTTCCCTTACTAAATCACCATAAGTCAAAATCTAAAATGCATTCATAAATTAAGCAAATTCAAAAAACACTGTCTAGACAAAGAAATTCTGTTTTGATCATTATAAAGGTAATTTTTTTAGAAGTGCCTTAATTTTATAAAGGAAAAATTAGTTGTCAAAAAGAATCTGGATTTGTTTATTTTTCTCAGAAGACTAAGAAAGATGTCTCATAAAAATGAGACTAAACCTTTCTCACAAACAGGCTTTTTCTGAAAAAAAAAAAAAAAGAATATTGTTGAGTGAGGAAAAGAGCCACTGAAAAAATGTCTGAAGCATCCATAGCATTCTGATAACCTCTTCCACATCTCAGACTATAGTAAAGACCTGTTATGAACTGATAGACAGACATTATTTCTATGGGTGTTCTCTCTTTCCCCTTTTAACCATGATGCATTTCTTGTATAATAGAGGTTGTGAAGGCATTTCTGGACATATTCACGCACATGAAAGAGAGTAAACAAGAGGTGGAATTTACTCTTTTTTTTTCTTCCAAATCTGGTATCAATGAAATGAAGTTGCATAAAAAGTTAATGCAACTTTGATAGCAACTACAACACAGATTGCTACAGATTAGAGATTATGGTCACAAAAACCAAAAAACCTGGAGCCAAAGCAAAAAACTCAGCTGGAACTATCTAGTACTTGAGAGACACAAACCCTATAAATGCCAGTCATCTCTGTCCTTCTTAGTTTCAATGTGAACAATGAATATATTACCCTACAGCTTGAGTGTATTCCATGTGTGGGTTATTGTCTCATAAAACAGTTCCATCAACATCATTATGTCTTTGTTCTGCTGTACATAGAATAAACAGTATTCAGAAGAAGACACTGGACTACTCATTAAACTATTCTCAGTCTATTTCATGTTGTAATAATGTGATTCC